CTGGAGCCTGAGTTGAGAACCACTCCACTATTGGTTCTAAAAGCTGACACATGTATGTGCTGGTTATGATCTGTTTAGTGTCAGCTGAGTCCACCTTGAGAGCAGGGGCCCAGGACTGACTTCTCTCATTCCAGAACCCAGTGACAGGTGGGCACATCACAGAGACCAATGGGAATTCATGGAACTGAATGGTGTAGCCTCTGGGCTTGGGTCTCAGTGACTTGAGACCCCCTCTCTCCTTTTCCCTCCAACCTGCCACGGTCTGAGAGGCAGGCAAGGACATGTGAAACCCTAGAAATGGCCCTTTCTCCCATGACCTTTGACTTTCATTTGAGACAGGACTCCGTAATGGCTAGTTTTCTCCCTAGACTTTCTTGGGAAAAGATTTTTTTTAATGTTTATGTTTTAAAATATTAAAAATAATACATATTCACTGGAAGTAATTTGGAAAAATCAAGAAACTACAAACAGCAAGATTAAAAGTATCTATAAATTTCTTCTTCCCAGAGAAGCTCACTAGTACCATGGTACAAATCCTTCAAGTCTTTCTTCTATAAATGTAGTTACGTGCTTTTTATTTGATAAATAGGTTTCATACTGTAATATTACTTTGTTGCCTTTCGGGGGAAGCAGGATGAGCATTTCCGGTATCATTAAGTATTTTTAAGAGCATTTTTTAAAAGCTTTTTTCCTTATTACCAAAGCTCTTCTTCATTGCAGAATACTTGGGGGAGAAAAGCACTAAGCAAAAGGAATCCGTTATCTTTTTACTTTCTAGAAAGAACCTCTGTTAACATTTTGGTGTATGCCCTTCTGGTATGTCCTTTTTGATTTTAATTGGAATTGCATTAAATTTATAAATTAATTTGAGGAGAACTGACATCTTTACAATATTGAGCCTTCCCTTCCAGGAGAAAGTTATGTCTCTCCATTTATTCAAGTCTTCTTTTATGTCCCCCAGTAAAGTTTTGTAGTTTTCTTGATATAGGAATTGCGCGTTTATTGTAAAGTATTTTTTTTTTTGCAGTTGCTTTTGTGAATAGGGTCTCTTTTTTTCCCTTGTAATTCCTCACTGTTTATTGCTGATTTATAGGAAGGCTATACATTTTTCTATATACGTTTTTATGTGCTGGCCCCTTGATGAGCTTTCTGTTTACTTTCTACTAGGTTTTGATAGGATTCTCTTGAGTTTTTAAGAAAATGGTAATAAGCATCTTCAAATAATACTGTGTCTCTTCTCTGATTGCATGACCGTGATTTGTTATTTTTACCTTATATACCATGATTTTGAAGGCAATTTTATCATGGAAGATATGCTTATATAAGCTTGTGCTTAGGGAGAATGGGATAGTGAATCCCTGGGTACTCACCACCCGGACCAACAACCCATGACTTTTCCTACCCTATCTGCATTCCCTTCACTTCTACTCCGCCCATGTTATTTTGAAGCAAATCCCGGACACCACATCCTGCCATCCTACACCCTGACTGTTAATGCCTGCGAGTTGTTCTGCCATATGGGTAGATTTTAATACATTGAGCAGGCTTCTGCTTTTGAACATCGAGTTGTTTCTATTTCTTCAATATTATGTCAAAAATATCCTTATACATAAATGTTTATGTGTCTCTAGCTCTCTGACTTTTTTCTAAATTTGTATCTGTAGAAAATGGAATTGCTGGATCATATGGTATTTTGATCACTTATTTTCCTTTAAACACATACACACCGTCACATGATGGCTTTTCTGATTAGAAATATAACACATGTTCACTGCAGAACTTTTTGAAAATACAGAAAAACACAAAGAAGGAAATTAAAGTCATCCACAATCCTTTCACTCAGAGAGACCTACTCTTAACATTTGAGGAGGTATTCTTCTTATCTTTTTTTATGGATGTGCCGCACCCCCACACAGACCCACATGCATGCACACTATGTGTTTTGAACTGTAACCCTGCTGGAATACCAGCATAGGGGTGGGGAGAACAACAGATTTATTTGTTCACTCTTTTAAACATTCAAAAAATCATTTTTTAAAACAATGAAACAACCTGGATACCCATCAACTGGTGGTGAATGGGTAAATAAAGTATGGTACAGCCATAGAAAGTAATACTGTTTAACAATAAAGAGAAATGAAGTACTGAGACATGCTACAACATAGATGAGCCTCAGAAACATTATGCTCAGTGAAAGAAGCCAGATGCAGAAGACCATCCATACTATGATTCCATTTAAACGAAGTGTCCAGAAAAGACAAATCTCTAGAAACAGGAAGTAAATTAATGGCTGCCTGAGGCTGGAGGACGGAGGGGGCTGAAAGCAATGATTGACTGTAGGTGGGCACCAGGGGTCTTATAGGGTTGCTGGAAATGTTCTGAAACTGGATGGTGGTGATTGTCATGCAATTTAGTAAATTTACTAAAAATCATTGTACACCTAAAATGGTGAATTTTGTGGAATTTCTTCATGTAAATAATACCTCAATGAAGTTAATGTTTTTTTATGAATAGAGGTTTATATGGGGAAAATAAGCAGAAAGAACAAATTAAGAAATCTATTACCTAGGCCTGTTTACTGGTGTTGTTTTGAGATGTCTTCTCTTCTTTTGTCACTGACATAAATCCCTCTTCATCTTCCATTTAGTCTTCCTCTTCTAACGTGGGGTCACACTGCATCTCTGCTTTATAACTTTTGTTTTTCACTTAAAGCTATATCATGGATATTTCCTAATCATTAAATATATAGCTATTTCCATGTAATAGTAAGTGAATGGCAGTTTGTGTTTTTTTGCCATTCATTTACTATTTCTTTGGTGTTGATTGTCTCTAGATCCACCTCCTTCCACATGACCTGTGTACCCATTGTTGAATTCAATTGCTAGAAACTGAGGTGGTGAGTCAAAGATCTGCGAGTTTTTATGGCTTTTTAAATTCTAATAGCCATCAAGGAAAGAGGATGTACTGGTTCCTACTTCTACCAACAGTTAAGCAAATGTCTGTTTCCAAACACTTTGGACAAAGCTGAGTGCTATCATTTATTTTATGTTTGTCAATGGGACAGTCAGAAAATGGTAATTTCACTGTTGGATCAAACTGAGTTTATTTGATTATTAGTGGGGATGTACATTTCATCATGTATTAATAGTTCCTTTGTATTGTTCTTTCCTTTTGTGAAAAGCCCATGTTTGCTCTTTGCATATTTTTCCTTTTGAGTGTTTGTCTTTTTAAAGAGTTTTAAGTGGTTTTTGTAAAATTAGAGCATCAACTTTTACATGTTACTGATATTATTTCCAAGTTTGTTTACCATTTAATTTTGTTTATGGAGGTTTTTAAATCTACACATTTTATACTGTCTCTATGAAGTTATCAATCTTTCTCCTACGATTTCTGACTTTATTGGAAGGCCTCCTCCACCTCAATATTATATGATATTCACCTATATTTATTGTCTTTTTGGTTCTTTTATAGTGTTTTTTCCCCTTCCTTCCCTTACTTCCTTGCTATTTAATCTTTACTCCATCTGAAACTTTTTTTTGATATATGGCTGAAGATTGGAATCTAACTTACATTTCTCCCAAATAATTGAATAATTGTCTAAGCACAATTAATGAATAATTCATCTTCTGCCTTCTTATTGGAAATAGCCATTTTTATCATGTCTTAAATATTTATCTCTACAAGAGCCTCTTTCTGGGGATTTTATCTCATTCTATTGACTTATCTGTGTTTTCATATGCCGTTAGGGCTTGGTTTTAATTATTTTGGCATCATGATATATTTTAAATCTGGCAATGCAAGTCGTCTCTCTTCTCTGTTTGGGCTGTCTCCTGTTTAGTCTTCCAGATGTATTTTAGAGCTGTTTTGTCAAGTAAAAAAAAAAAAATGTGTGTATGTATGTGTACATATATATTCTGTGATTCTGATTGGAACCACATTAAACCGAAAAAGTGATTTAGAGAAAAACGGACACCTCTGTCCCTGACCCTGACTACCCGGCATGGCACGCTTCTCCATCAACATGCCTCCTATATTTATGTCTCTCACCTAAGGTGTTCTGTTCTGTTTTTGTTTTTTTGCCATTTTTAATATTGAAGTTGATTCATGATTAGTTATTTAATAGTTGCTGATATTGCAAAGAAAATCCTTTTGCCATTAAGTCTTTACTGGTTGTTGTTTATTTAATTTGCGCTTGCTGGTCATTGAACTTGAATCTCCTACTAGTTCTTACTGGTTTTCATGTTTAGGGATTGTTTTAAGAGTTTTTAGGGAGGCATTTATATCATTTGCAAATAAGAACTTTTTTCTTCCCAAGAGGTGTGCCTCTAAGTCATTATTTCCTTCTTATCTCAATGGTTAATGGTGTAATGTAACTCTTCACACACCTCCTCTTTTTTTTTTTCCTTTAATGAGCATGCCTCTTGTGTTTCACCATTAGTTGATATTAAAGGCCAATTTGAGCTGAAGATGCTTCAAGTAAGTAGCTTTTCTAGAGCTAGATTATTAAGCATTCTTAACAGCAGTAGATATTGAATTTTATCAAATGCCTTCCTGCATTTTGTGAGTTGATCATATTTTTCCCCTTTGAATTACTGATGCAATGGAATGATATTCATAGATTTCCTTATATTGAACCACACCTTACATTCCTGGAATACTACTCTGTGATCATGGTATGTTATCCTTGTAGTAATATTCTGGTAGATTCTACTTGCCAGCATTCTACTGAGAGTTTTCATAGCAACATTCATAAGTTGGTCAGTTTTAGTTTGGCTCTGTTTGTCAGCCTCTGTTATCAGGAATTTGCCAGCTGAGTGAAATGAACTAGGAGAATTTTCATATTTCTTATGCTCCGGCACAATTTCTACATAGGGGAATTATCTGGCATATTATTGAACATTTGGGGGAAGAATCTTGCCCATAAAACCTTCTAAGCCAAGCATGTTTCTTAGCATACCTCCTCCTTCACCAGCACACACAGTTTTACCCATCTCTCACAGGAGGAATCTTTGAGTATGCAGACGGCCCCAATGCCCAGGTCATGAACGCCGAGGAGCATGCCTTTCGATTTTCTGCCAACATCATCAACCGAAACAGGACTCTGCTGCCCAACACAACCTTGACCTATGACATCCAGAGGATTCACTTCCACGACAGCTTCGAGGCCACCAAGAAGGGTGAGTGTGCTGCCCCCACTGTCCTCTTTCTGGCCGTGGGAGGCATAGGTCTGTGTTTGTTGTCCAAGGTCCTTAAAACATGCCAAAACTCTGGGTGGGTTTGGGGATTAGAGCCTTTTCTGCCTTGTTTTTGGACCAGCCTCAGGCCCAGTTCAGCTTGGGTTGTGTGGTGACACACAACCAGGAGCAGTGATTTGTCCATCAGGAGTTCCCAGGCCACAGACAAAGGCCATGAAGGGCCTTGGGAAGGGGTGGGGTATGAGGATGGAGTCTGAGATGGGTGAGGAGGCAGCCCAGGTCTTCAAGGCCTCAGAACCAAAGCCAGCATTTTCACATTTACTTTTTCTTTCATTGAAATCCTGCCCAGTAAATCAGTATTTAAAATATATATAAAACAGATTATGTAGAGATTAAAACATGCAACATTTACTTGCCATAAAAAGACTTGCTAAAAACAAAAACAGCTGTGTCTGTGGCTGCAACAATTTGACCCCAGTGATGGATGACACTGGAAGTCTGACACTGACCTTAGCTTAAGTATGTTTCCTTTCTTCTTCTTTTTTTTTTTTTTTTTTGGCTGCATAATAACAATAAAACCACAATTCACAAAAATAATTGTAGCAAATATAATCAAACAGTTTTCACCATACCTGAGTTTCAAAAAGTCAAAACTAAAATATTGGGCCATATTCTTTCACATTAGTGATATGTTGACAGTAAACTCTAATGCCTGCACAGAAAGGACTGGGGAACTTTGTTCCAAGATTCTCACGGTAAAATCATGGTAATTTGTCAATACATGAATGAGCTACCATTTTCCAATGTAGCATATAGCATGTCTGAGCATACAAGTATGCTCTTTTGTCTTTTAAAAATACCATATACATATATTTAATTGGAATTTAACTTAAAGGCCTAAATAACTTTGGGGATAACTTCCATAGAACCCTAGAATTCCATGGAACTCTATTTTAAAAAACCCTCAGACCTAAGGAATCTCGGTTCCCAGAGAAGCCTAGGTCATTCCTTCCATAATATGCTTTTACAGCCCCTCGCTTTTCTTCTTCAAGGCCTTTATCACAATTTGTAGTTAAATCATGTGGGTGTTTAATGTCTTTCCCCTCCTGGCCAACACCATTGAAAAGAAGTTTCTCTCTTATTAACTGATATAGCCTGGCACCTAGAAGGCTGGCATATAGTAAGTGCTCAATGAAATGGCCATTGAATGAATCTGTGAATGAGTAGTATGAGGATAGGGCACAGGAGGCTGAGCATCACTGCCCAGGACCCCTGTCAGCTGAGCTGACTGTGTTATCCATGCCTCTTGGGAAGACAGCCCATCCACAAGGTCCCCTTGGTCTTTCTAAGGGCTTTCCAGTAGCTAATCAAGGTCTCCTGGGCACTCAGGTGCAGACTTGCCAAGGTGCTGCCTGCTCCCAGCTCTTTTCCAAAGCCCCATTATAAAGTAAGCCTCTCCGTACAGAAAGGCAGAGTAGCATGGGCTTGGAGCCAGACAGCCTGGGGTTGCACCCTGTCCACTCTGATATTAGTTGTGTGACCTTGCACAAAATACCCAGCGACTCAGTTTTTTCATCTACAAAATGGGCACACCTCTGTGATTAGAGCAGTGCCTGGTTCGTACGAAGTACCATCAGACTTTGTTCCTATTACGTTGGCTGCCTTGCTGTCCACCCACTGAACCATCAGGTCAGGGGCCTTCACACCTTCAGGCACTTTCCCACTGGTGGTCCCTGTCTTGCCCACCCTGCTCCTCCCTGCCTTGTCCACTGAAGGTCAAGGGGTCTCTGACGTTGAACAAAGCTGTCACTGAGATTTTCGAGGCCACTGTCTCAGGGCCAACCTGCACACAAACTAGAGGCACCCGCCCTGCTAGCCTTGAAGAGTGGTCCTTCCCCATCACTCCATCACTCACCTTCTCTGGTGCTGGCCTGCTCTCCTCCCTACCTCCATCCTCCTAGTCATCTCCCAGCAAGCACTGCGGCCAACACCATGTAGTCAAGTCTCCATCTCCCTGATGAGAGTCCACGCTGGCACCCTCTGCCTGGCCTTGTCCAGCTGGAAAATGGCTGACCTCAATCAAAACTGCTCAGTGAAAAGGTCAAAACACAAAACCGATGCCTGGAGACAGAACACAGAGGGCTGTGTGCACACAACCACCCCAGAGGACCAGGCTGTCCTTCTGTCCGTTTTCCCTAAAATTCACTAAAAGACTATGATGACACTCTAGTGGTGCACCCTGCCCAGCAGTGAGCCTGGAGCAGAGTTTCAGAGCCTGCCGAGGAGCTTCCTGCAGTGGGAGCTCACCGTCCCACACTATGTGGGATTACCTGGTGGCGGGTGAGCAGACCCGAGATGGAGACGCTCAGCTCTGAAAGTCCAATCAGATTGGTCCAAGTGACCAAAGCCACAGCCCCTCCCCATCCTACAGGAGGTCACATGACTTGTTTGTGGGCCTGTCTAGTCTACCACCAAGGTGACCCACCAGCCACATCTGCATCACTTGCCCCTCAGTCTCTGGATTCTAGTCGTCCCTACTGTCCTCAGGACACCATGCTTCCTCCCACCTCAGGGCTTCTGCACATGCTGTTCCCTCTGCTTATATGTCCCTTTCCCCATCCCACCTCTTTGTCTAAATAACTCCTCCCTCTCCTCTCAGCCTCCTGGTCCTCAGGGGAACCCTCCCCAACCCCATAGACAAGGTCAGATCTCCCTGCTTCCATCTCCTAACACCCAGGACCTTTCTATCACATCTCTGACCCCTGGCTGTGTGGATATGGGTGTGTGGGTATATTATGTGATTGCTGTCCATTGCTTCCACTCAATGGCACATCAATTTGCCTCCTCAATGACGTAAATACAGAATCATGGTTCTGGTGGCAGACACTAGTTTTGCTTGTTTTTGAACTTTCCCTAAGTAGAATACCAATATAAACTTTTCTGAGTCTTGCTTCCTTCACCCTTCAATAGATCTTGAGATTCATCTCTGTTGTCAGATGTAACAGTAGTTTCTTGTTCTTCATTGTCATGTAGTATTCCATTATATGAATAGGCAAGAATTTTTAAAAAGCAAATTTACTGTTGAACATTTGAGTTGTTTCCATGTGAGGCCGCAGAGTGGTCCTGCTACGAACATTCTTGTCGATGTCTTCTAGCGCACGAATGCGCACATTCTTCATTGGACGCATACCTTGTTGTTGTTCAGTCACGCAGTCACGTCCGACTCTTTGAGACCTCATGGAATGTAGCGTGCCAGGCTTCCCTTCCTTCACTATCCCTCAGAGTTTGTTCAAACTCATGTCATTTGATTTGGTGATGCCATCCAACCATCTCATCCTCTGTTGTCCCCTTCTCCTCCTGCCTTCAATCTTTCCCAGCATCAGGGTCTTTTCCAATGAGTCAGCTCTTTGCATCAGGTGGCCAAAGTATTGGAGTTTCAGCTTCAATATCAGTCCTTCCAATGAATATTCAGGGTTGATTTCGTAGGAGTGGAAATGTGAGGTCATCCAATGTGCATATGTTTAGCTTAACAGTTTTCCAACTAATTGCTGTACCAGTTAGCACCCCATGCCCCTGCAGTAGAGCAGGGCAGCTGCGGTTGCTCTATGTCTTTGCTAACTTGTGGTGAAGTATGTTTTATTTTTGGTGGTTTATGTGGCAGATGTCTCAGTGTGGTTTTATTTTGTATTTCCCTGATGACCAGAGTTATTGAGCATCTTTTCATATGCTAATAGATCATTTAGAGCTTCTCTTTCCTGGAGTGTCTTTTGGAGGCTTTCAACCACTTTTGAAAATTGAATTGCTTGTCATTTTCTTATTGATTTGTAGGAATCTTTATACATTCTGGATACGTGTCCTTTGTTGCATATATGTATTGCATATATCTATTGCCAGTGAGCTTGCCTTCTCACTCTCTTAGTAGTATCTTTTGAGGAGCAAAGTTTTTCATTTAAAGGAGTCCAATTTATCAATGTTTGCCATTATGGCTAATGCCTTTTGTGTTCTGTTTTTTTCTATCCTGAGGTCATGAAGATATTCTCCTATGTTCTCGTCTAGAAGTTCGATTGTTTTGTCTTTCAGAGTTAGCTTTATGATCTGTCTCAAATTGATTTTCTGGGTAGGGTGGGAGGTATGAGTTGAGGTATATTTTTTCTACATAATGCTGGTGGGAGTGAAAACTGGTTTAACTTCTCAGAAGAACTGTGTGGAAATATTTACTAAAGCGAAATATATGTGTGTAAGGATGTTCCTAGCCACTTTCTTGATAATAGCCAAAGTTGGAAATAAATGAAAAGTCCATCAACAGCAGAATGGATAGATGGAGGAAGGTACAGCTATACAATGGAATTGAATCAGCAATAAAAACAGAACCAACTCTTGCTATGCGTACCATCATGGATGAGGCTCACAGACATTGTTGAGTGAATGAACAGTGATTACTTTGGGGGGGAGGGAGTCCAGTGGATATAAACTGGAAAGGGGAAGACAGAACCTTCTTAGTTGTTGCAAATGTTCTGTATTTTGATCTAAGTAGTAGTTACAAGAGTACAGTTTTATATAAAAATTCGTAGAAGTCTATGCTTAAAATTAATGCACTCCACTGAATTATATCTCAATAAAAAAATTAAGTGGCTCCTGTCTGCCAACACTCTTCCTTAATGCCCTTCTGATAACACACCTGAGACAGACCCCTGCTGTGGTCAGAATCATCGCTGTCTGACCCTGAGGCATTTCTGCTGTTGGATCATACTCCCCATTGGGTACCCTCTATCCCTCAGGGAACCCCATGTTCTGTGATCTTTATTTCTCCTTTTGATCTTTGGTTTTTAAAAATGTATTTCTTGGGAGCATCATTAGGACTCTTCCAGGGGGGTGAACTTGGGCCTCATTCTAATTAACCCAAAGATAATTCATTTTTTCTAGGCAGAGGTTCTCATCACAGCTGGACCCAGCCACCTCAGGCCCTGGGGGTTGAGGGGATGCAGAGGCACAGAGCCTGGCACCACCTGCCCGGCCAGCCCTGGCTGAATTAGTCCTTCCCTCCACATGAGGCCCAGGAGGTCTTCTCCCATTAACAGGGACATTCACTTATTGTCTTTATTTTTAAATGTTTTGTGGAAAATTAAAAGAAGAGTGCCAGGCAGAGCCTGAGCCAACAACTCAGAGAGCGTCTGTGTTTTCTTCCAAGCCTGACCGGAGTGAGCCTGGAATCGACCCAGCCCTCCCCAGGCTCCTCTGCCTCCACTGATTCTCTGGGCGGCTCAGTTCCTTTTAAGACACAAATTGATTGGGATAATTTTTGCTATAACTACAATTGCCATGGAAAGGGGGCGGGGGAACTGCATTCAGGCTGTGGACTCCTGCAATGACTGTGAACCACTGAGTTACTGTAAAATGACCAGAAAATGGATTCAAAATTGAAGTCACAAATAATGTAATTACTGCTGTGTGTGTTCAGGGCTGCCAGAACAAGAGTTGGCTGCTTCCCTGGAAACATCTGGAGATAAAGCTGCTGCCGCTATAACCCTACTCTCGTCCCCTTGGGGCAGCAGTATTCTTGCAGGCCGGAAGGCCCTCAGAGGGTGGAAGGAACATGAAGGGGATGGGAAAAGGGATGTGGAGAGAGGCCACAGAGAAGAAACAGGTGAAAGGCAGGACTTACGCCTCCTGTAATCCAACAGTGAGATCTGGTCATTGCACCTCTGGCAGAATGAAACCCAGTGTGGGATCATATCACACTGTCATCACCACTATCAACACCTCTACTCCAGTGCACATCACCACAGTTACTGTTACCACTGTCAGTCGTGGTATCACCTCCACTCTTGAAGCATCAGCACCACCATCATCACCTTACTATCATCAGCAGCATCACTGCAGTGGCGGCAGCACCTTCATCATCACCAGTCTCATCCATGCCAACATCATCACCACCATTCCTGTTATCACTGTCTCCATTACAGTCATAGCATTAGCATCATCATGACCACCAAAATTGTTTCCAACTCCATTCACATCCTTCCCAACATCACCTGTTATCATCACCATCACTCTCATGTCTTCAGCATCCTCATCGTCACCTCTCATCACCACCAACATCGTCACCGCCAGTACTGTTATCACCATCAACATGGTTATCACCTCCTCTCTCATCAACACTTACACCACCATCTCCATTCCTACCATCATCATCACCATTACTTGCGTGACATTGACATATTTATCATCATCAATCCCCTCATCACCATCCCACCATTGTTACAGCATCATCACCACTCCACTCCCACCAGTGTCATTATCATCATGATCATCAACAGCCTCACAATATGGTCTTAAGACACCATCATGACTACCATAACTGTCACTATAGTTACCTCTACCATCTCACAGTCAATATCAAAATCATTTCCTTCAAGATCCCTCTTACAGTGCTCTGCCCAGCCGGCTCTGTGCCAGCCTGTAGGCCTACACGAGCCTCTGCCCTGTGCCATCCTCTGGAGGTACAGCCACGCTGCCATGGTCATACTCCTGGGCCCTGTCTAGGGGTGACAAATAAACAGCTACTTGTGGGGTGTGGACAGAGCTTGGACGTAAGAAGTAGGGGGTCCATATGACAAGTTCAAGGCCCTTTATGGTTCAGTATGAAACCAGTGGTCAAAGAGGAGGGGGGGGGAGTGGGGGAGCTGGTGCCACCTCTTCCCACATCACTGAGTAGACATCTCCATTCTCACCTGACTTTCCAGGTTGTTTTGAGCATATTTGCCAAGGTAGAAGGAAAGGGCATGTTTTATAAAATGGTTTGTTAGCTTGACTTGAAGTATTTAAATATTCAGCCACTTGATATGTGGGCCTCTATTTGTTCTCTGGTCCTGGGCGTTGCAAACCTTAGGGGTAGGTCAGAGCCCAGAAGGTCTTTCCCAGAGGCCCTTGAGGCAGCCAGGACATGTCTGAATCCATTATTCATCCACACCTCGCCTCCTCCCACATGCATCATGTGTTCATAGATGTGCACATTGTGGCATTCCCATGGCCACAAGCTGGTGGTTGTGCTCATGCTGTGTTGAGGGTTGCAAGTGACAGAAAGCCAAATCCTAACTGGCTTAAGCAAAAAGAGAACGTATTGGTTCGGGTAACTGAAGTCCCGGGTGCCTCTTGATCATGGGGCTCATATTTCTTTCTGTCTCTCAGCTCTGCTCTCCTCCACAATGTCTCCATTCACAGGCAGGCTACGCTACCTCCAGATCTCACCTCCTCCCAGGTCCAGTTATAGCAGGAAGTTCCCCCTTTTCAGTGCGAGGTCTCATGCCATCCCATTGGCTCCAAGCAGTCACATGACCAGCCTCCAAACCAGTGACTGGCCTGGGGGTGGTGAGTGAACAGTCCAGCTAGAGCCTGTAGCCCTACTGCTCAGAGGCTGGCAGTGGGGAAGGCAGTGGAACCCAAAGGAAAGCTAGAGACAGTGCCAGAAAAAGGGCAGTGGCTCCTGGGGAGCCCTCCCCATGACCGCCCCGGAGGTCCCACTTTATGGCTCTTTTAGGCCTGGCCCCTGCATGAGCCTATGCCCTGCCACCAGCTGCCCTGCTTCCTGCTCATGTCATGCTTCTGCTGTGCCCACTGTTTCTTGCCCTTCCCAGAAGCATCTGCCTTCTGACCTGCCTAAGTCCTTGGGCGTCGCCCAGGAAGAGTAGCTGTTTGAAGGCAGGGATTCAGCCTCCATTCCCTCAGCAGTTGTCAATTAAGCACCAGATACTGTGTTAAGCACTGTTGATACAACAATCATCATTTCTATCTCACAAGTACTGTGCTGTCTTTTTTTAACTGAAGTTTTACAATGTGCTTTACAATGTTGTGTTAGTTTCAGGGGCACAGCAAAGTGATTGAACTACACATACACACACACACACATACACATATAATATTGAGTATAGTTCCCTATGCTGTAGAGTAGGTCCTTGTTGATTATCTATTTTACACATAGCAGAGTATATCTGTTCATCCCAAACTCCTAGTTTATCCCAGTGCCTCTTTCCCCTTTAGTAACCATAAATTTGTTTTCTGTGTCTGTGAGTCTATTTCTGTTTTGTAAATAAGTTCACTTGTATCATTTTTTTTTCAGATTTCACATATAAGCAGTATCATGATATTTGTCTTTCTCTGTCTGACTTACTTCACTTAGTATGATCATCTCTGGGTCCACCTACATTGCTGCAAATGGCATTATTTCATTTGTGTGGCTGAGTAATATTCCAGTGTGTGTGTGTGTGTGTGTGTGTGTGTGTGTGTGTGCGCGCGCCTCTGTACACCACATCTTCTTTATCCATTCATCTGTTGATGAACATTTAGGTTGTTTCCATGTCTTGGCTATTGTAAGTAGTGCTTCAGTGAACAATGGGGTACATATATTTTTTTGAATTAGAGTTTCCTCCACATATATGCCCAGGAGTGGGGTTGCAGGGTCATTTGGTGACTCTACTTCTAGCCTTTTAAGGAACCTCCATACTGTTTTCCATAGTGGCTGCAGCAATTGACATTCCCCTCAACAGTGTAATAATGAGTAATTATCTCATGCAACCTTCCTATGATTCTCTAAGGCAGGGACTATTACAGCCCCAGTTTTAGATGCAGAGAGCTCATCTGTGGTGCAGCCTCAGAGGGGTCATCAGGGTCACGGCCCCTCGTGCCCACAGCACCCGGCTGCCTGACGAGACAGCGCTGACCCCTGCACTGTCCTTCCCTCCCTCCTCCTGTCGCAGCCTGTGACCAGCTGGCGCTGGGGGTGGTGGCCATCTTCGGGCCGTCCCAGGGCTCCTGCACCAATGCCGTCCAATCCATCTGCAACGCGCTGGAGGTGCCCCACATCCAACTGCGCTGGAAGCACCACCCACTGGACAACAAAGACACCTTCTACGTGAACCTGTACCCGGACTACGCCTCTCTCAGCCACGCCATCCTCGACCTGGTGCAGTACCTCAAGTGGCGGTCGGCCACCGTGGTCTATGACGACAGCACCGGTGAGTAGCCACGCCTGGCCACACCAAGAGCAGGAGGTGAGGGTGGCAGAGCCCCAGGATCGGGTTCTTTGCTCCTCGTTCAGCTCAGCTGCCCTGTCCACACTTGGACCCCAAGCCTCATCCAGTCACACTGATGCTCGCCCTGTACTCACCCAGAGCCCCATGCATACCAGCCACACCCACCCAAGCCACTTCACACCACCATGAACTGCCTCCGCCCCAACCCTGGCAGAATGCTCCAATCTGCACTCACACCTGCATGGCCACACCCACACCTGCCTACACCCTCACATTCACACATTTTCACCAGAAGCACACACATCCAGCTCTATGCTATGGGGCTGTGAGTGCAGACTCTGGACTCAAACCAAACAGTGCATGATGCCGGCTGACCCTGCACTTAATAGCTGAGCATCACGGAGCTATTTCCTCTCTGCCTCTTTCTTTCCAAAGACTCAAGTCCCAAGACGTTTCTTAGCCCTGCCTCTTAGAGAGTGACCTTGGCAAGTCACTTAACCCATCTGGCCCTGCTCTGCCACGTGACAAGTCAAGAACTATAGCAGCCAGTTTGGAGAGAGCCCTCCAGCTCTCAGCTCCCTGTGTTGATGTCAGCTCTTGATTACCTCCTAATGGGGAGTCAGGGTAGTGGGGAGAGATTCCCTCAGAAGAGACGCTCAGAAGTTGTTTTGTTAACTCGGGATTCAACAAGCATCTCTTGAGTTTCTGCTCTATCTGAAGAGCCAGACAGGAGATCCTGGGTGGCAGAGACCCCTGACCCCTGCTCACTGCCCCAAACCATCGAGAGGCACTGCTGCCCAGCTCCAAGTCTCAGCCTGTTTTGCTGCAGCCCTGTAGTTTTGTCTGTCTTCATGTACCACTATGAATGAGTGTCTGTCTTGGAGCCTGTTTCTGCCTCCAGACCATGAACCTTCTGTGCCTCTGGCATTTAGCACAGCACCTGGGACAATGAATATTGTTTAAATATTTGTTGAATTGAATTGAGCTGAAAATAAAATGGAAATAAACTATAATTAAATATGGCAGGAGATGGCATGTTGGGCACTGGTAAGGAAGAAGACATAAAGATGAAGTCATCCTGTCTTCTTTTGAGAAGTTAGTCATATTGAAGGGGAGTGAGTGCCCACCCAGAGCTCACTGGGCTTTTCCAGTCCATCAGAGCTAAGAACCAAATGACATGTTCATACAGTCAGAGCTAGAGTCACTTGGGGAGGGGAGGCTCCATGACCTTGGCTAGTGTGGGCTGACACCAGAGGAAGAGCAGCGTGAGCCTGGCCTTGAGGATGGGTGGACAGGAAGAGGAGTCGTTAAGGCATTACCCGAGAGAGGAACAGCAGGGGATCCCAGTACGGTAGGTGGGAGGAAAAGGTCAGATACACAGTGTGTAGCAGGCCGTGGTCTCTGCAGTCTAGCTTCAGAGTTCAGGCTTTATCTTGTAAGCAGCTGAGGACCACTGAGTGTTGTTGAACAAAGAAGTAGAATAATAAAAGCAGAGTTTTAGAGGGTGGCACTGACAGCTAGGCAATTTGGCCACCTGATGGGAAGAGCTGACTCACTGGAAAAGACCTTGATGTTGGGAAAGATTGAAGGCAGGAGGAGAAGGGGATGACAGAGGATAAGGTGGTTGGATGGCATCACTGACTCAATGGACATGAGTTTGAGCAAGCTCCAGGAATTTATGATGGACAGGGAAGCCTGGCATGCTGCAGTCCACGGGGTCACAAAGGGTTGGACATGACTGAGCGACTGAACTGAACTGACAGCAATGTGCAGAGAGTTAGAGGGAGAATGTGGAGCAAGAAGACTGGGAGAGGTGGCCATATTGGTCCAGGTAGGCACAAAAGGGTTGCTTGGAAGAGAACTTGGGACCAGCATGGGAGAGAAGAATTGGATATGAGCAGATCATGTTGAAATTATGTAGGAGTGTCATGGGCAGAGTGGCCACAATAGACACTGACATAAACTGCTGCCCAGCAGGACTGGGGCCTCCATATGCTGGATGCGCGTAGAGAGAGAGGCTTTGCAGGGGAAGATGCTGTGGCATCAAGGTGGTTGCCAGTGAGACTGGTCTAAGCAGATGCTGAGATCTAGAACCTCCTCTCCCCATGGATGTCTAGCTCTGACTGTATGCACACAACACCTGATTCTTGACTCTGATGACCAGTGGTTTCTGGGTGGGCACTCACTCCCCTACAATATGATTCACTTCTTAAAAGAAAATGGGACAGCATCTTCATTTCTTCATCTTTTCCAATGCCCAACACACTTTTCCCTTCAGTATTTATTGTTTAATTCAATGTTGATATTTAATTCAATTCAATAAACATTTTATTTTATTTTTTTTCAACAAACATTTTAAAATGTAGGGTAGTCAGTAATGGAGCTAGTTTAGTTAAGAAGACACTTAGTACTAGGTATTCAGGGTTGGAATCAGTCAAACAATAATATAACTTTGACGAAGAATAGTAGTAGTAAGAAGTATGCTCCCAGAATCAGGATATTTCAAGGGGACAGCTTGTGGGTCATCAAACCCATGAATTGGGAAGCAGGCTTTGACTGTGTTTGCTTTGGGGGTTGTTTCCATTAGGATATTTTGGCTGTAAGTAACAGACAACCCAACTCAAACTGACTGGAGCAGTAGCCACTTAGTTATCTCACTGACAAGAAGTCTGGAGATGGGCCTTTCCAGGACAGGTTTCGGAATTCATCAGAGTCAGGATGCTGGATCAGTGTCACTGCAGTTCCCTTAACTTTCCCCCTCATGATCACAGTGAAGATGCTGCAGCTCCAAATATCAGATCCTCACATGATGATACCCCAGGCAGTGGGAAGGAAAGAGGTAGAAGACAAAGCGATTTTTCTTAATGTGATTTGTGCCTGTTCAGGGAGGAAAATCTGTCTCCAAACCTTCCAGCCTTCCACCCCATACAGTTCACTGAGTCTGGGCCTACTATCCTAAACATCCCATTCAGATAGGAATGGGACTGCTACTGACTGATTTCACCTACCATGAGTCATTCCTTGGGGCTGGCACACAGCCACACAAACAAAATCAATGGTTCTCTTAATATGCTAGAAGAGGGGACATCAGTTTCCTATTTTGATAATAATTCTGTGTAACAAACCACCCCAAAACAATGTGGCTTGAAATAATAAGCATTTGTTTAGCTCACAAGTCTATAGAGTCAATGACTGACTGTGATTGGCCAGGCAGTTATTCTGGTCTCAGCTGGATCACTTTCCTGCCCGGGGGTCGGCTGAGTGTTGGCTGATCTAGACCAGCCTTAGCTGAGATGATGGGGTAGCTGGGCTCTCACCCTCCAGCAGGATACCCCATGCATGTGGTCATGACGATGGCAGAGGTGAAAAGAACAAATCCAGGGTACAATTCCATTTCAAGTATTTGCTTTCGTCATGCCTGCTGACACCCCATTGGCCAAAGCAGTTCACACAGTTGAGCCCAGTGTCTGGGGTAGAACAAGTCACCTGCCCAGTTAGAGGGCACTGCAAAGTCACATGGCAAAGGATGGGGATGTGGGGAGGGCTGAAAGCTGGAGTCATCACTGCAATCCACTACAGGGAGAACTGCTTTAAAATGCACCTGGGATCTAAAGAATAGGTATGACCAAGTGTTGACACAGAGAGGTCAATGGCGTGAAAAGAAGAGTTGTTACCTACAGTTCCCTAGAAGCAGAAGGGGGCACATCATGGCACCTAGGGTCACATGCAGGGCTGGTCAGGAGGTAGGAGCAAGTGGAAGACACAGGCAAGAGCCTTTATTACTTATTCCCTGGTGGCTCAAGTGATGAATTCGCCTGCCAATGCAGGAGACATGGGTTTGATCCCTGGTCCAGGAAGATCCCATGGAGAAGGAAATGGCAACCCACTCCAGTATTCTTGCATGGAAAATCCCATGGACAGAGGAGCCTGGTGGGCTACAGTCCATGGGGTCACAAAAGAGTCAGACACGACTGAGCGACTGAACAACTATAATATTGCCCCTATTACTACTACATGGAATTTGTTAGGTGCCAACATCCCATATGGGGTAGGAAGCAAAACACAGATTTGGGAGTTTGTGACTGAAGAGTTTATAATATGATTTTGGTGTGCCCAGGAAAACACAGGGTACTAGGGATACAAACAACTTTGGTCATTAGTTTGGCCCATGATTTCAGGATGCCAAATCGTCAGTTACAGAATATCAAGAATGATTATTCCAGGGACCAACAGTGTTTGCCTTTTGAATTTTGCCATGCAAACCTAATCTGTGCAGAAAGCCAAATTTATATCAAGAATGAAAGGAAGCGGCTTAGAAAAAGCTAGGGTAAAAGAAAAAAAAGGCCCAGCCTAAGAGCCCAAAAGATTGGGTCTTGAATTTTTATCCCATTGCTAACATTCTGCAGAATCTTGGGAGGATCACTTAACCTTTATGGGCCTCAGTTTCTTTATCTGAATATTGGAACCAAAGCACCTACTCTGTATGTCTTCTAGGACAGGGAGATGGTTAAATAAGGTAATGAATGCAGAAGTGCTTTGTAAGTGAAAAGTATGACTTCAACAACCATGATTCACTGCAGATATTTTGAGAGAGATTGATTAGGGAAGCAGCCAGGAAGGAGTGCTCATCTCAGGCAAACGAAGAGCCTAGTCCTTTGCTGGGATGGGCTAGGATGAGCCTCTGGTCTCCTTCGGGAATACACTGATGGGAAGGAGTTCTGACACTTGCTGCGAGAGAATGTGGGTCACTGTGCATTACACAGGGCAATGAACTTGGCTGACAAGAAAGCTCTGATGGGTCTCCTCCAGCATCCACACTGTCCCTGTCCTCCTGTCCTGGGTCCCCAAAGCCCACTTGCCTACTGATGCTGTGCCTGGGTCTGGAAACTGAGCCAGTAGGAGCAAAGTGTGCACTCAGGGCCTTGCAGAGTAACAGGTGTGAGCAGGCAGCAGCATTCAGCCAAACCAAGGACTTCCGGGATTCATTGAGGAGGGAGGGTGAGGATGGGGGTGTGTGTCTGGGGGGAGCTTGCGGCCCTTCCCTCCTCTGCTAAGATTACCTGATATCCCCTTCCTGCCCCCATCAAGTCTGGTATTAGGAGGTACTGGGGTCCCTGTTTGGTCCAGATCCCTCCAGGACTCCAGAGCCCTCTCCCAGCCATACACCTGGATCTGAGACCATCCGGGGGCCAGGGGTTTGTGATGCCCACAGTCATGGCAAAGTTTGTTTGGAAGCTCTTTGGGAGGCTTGGGTCCCAGAGAAATATTTCTGTCCTCCCCAGCTGAGATAACTCCCTGGTAGCTCAGATGGTAAAGAATCTGCCTGCAAAGCCAGAAACCCAGGTTCGATCCCTGGGTTGGGAAGATCCCCTGAAGAAGGGAATGGCTACCCACTCCAGTATTCTTGCCTGGAGAATTCCACAGAGGAGCCTGGCAGGCTACAATCCATGGGATCACAAAGAGTCAGACACTAATGAGTGACTAACGCACACCACAGCAGAGTGGAAAGAAGGATACCAATCGGCTTGCTTTCCTGATGTCCAGCCTTCAGGAATGGGAATAAGGGGCTCAACAGACCCGGGTGTGTGTGCCAGAAGTGGCTTTGGAAGCCCAGACTTTTTGTTGGAAGGCTGGCAATGTGGGCTGTCTGTGTACGAGGACTCTGTCCAGATAGGAACACTGCGACAGCTGATCGTGAACTTTAATCCATCGCAAACTAGCTTAAGCAAAAAAAAAAAAAAAAAAAGCAGGGGATGGAGTTGAGGGGTGGCTTCTGTTGATTTCCTTTACTGGAAAGTTCAGGAATGGTTTTAGCTTTAGAGTTGCAAACGAGTATCTAGGTCTTGGGCTTCCCAAGTGGCACTATTGGTAAAGAACCCGCCTGCCAATGCAGGAAACGTAAGAGATGCAGGTTCAATCCCTGGGTTGGGAAGACCTCCTGAAGAAGGGAATGGCAACCCACTACTTGCCTGGAGAATCCTACGGACAGAGGAGCCTGGCAGGCTACAGTCCATAGGGTCGCATAGAGTTGGACACGACTGAAGTGACTTAGCACACACACACATCTTTAGGGCTTAATTTCTTTCTGTGTGTCCTGACTTCTGCCCTGTTGGAATCCTTCTCAGGTTCCAGACTCACTACCCCCCACCCCAATTTGGAGTTACATTTAAAGAGAGTTATCTCTTACCAGTTGCCCTGGCACAGTTCCTGGGAGTCATCTGATAAGACCAACTGACATCTCACATCCGTCTCTAAGCCCGCACCTATGCCTCAAGCAATGTGTGTGCTGCCTGATCAGGGTGGGGACAGATTCTGTGTCCCTAGAGTGGGAAAAGATCCCTCCTGAGTCACGTGGACGGAGTGTGGGGGAGGAGTTGTTCCCTGAAGGAAAATCAGAGTGCTGTTAGCGGGGAAATGGAGCGTGGCTGAGTGGACAGTGCAGCCAGGATGCAGACACCAAGCCCTGCGTATGGGCAGTGAGCCCAGCAGGTGGGAGGGGCCGGCCTGCCTGGGACCCTGGCCCAGGGCTGCCGCAGCCCTCCCTGAGGTGGGCGGGGCTGTAGAGACCAGCAAGCAAGCAGGCTTGTTTCCAGGCTAAGCACAGAGGAGTCAGCAAGAAGGGACCTCGAAGTAGGGACGGAAATGAACTTAATTAGACCTAAGCAAGCCATTTGTCTCCAGGAAATGACATTCAGTTTTCCCTGGAAGTCCCCAGATTAAGTGGTTTTGCAAAATGCCAAGGTGGAGGATGGATTTTTCAGTGTAGAGTAGAGAGAAGAAAAACAGTAGCCAGTCCAATTATGGAAATTGGTGTTGAGAACAACCAAAGGGCCAGGCCCTATGCTGGAGGGGGGGTGTGGAGACCTAGCCCCCCTGATGTTGAAGAGCTTGTGACAGGACAAGGAGAGTGAGATGAGGTCAGAGGAGGCGAGTACTGACGGAGGAGGCCACAGAGTTGGGGAGGTGGGGTGGCAGGATGGGAGTTGGGTGGAGACATCTTCTCCGGGCAGAGCAGTAGGGGTAGGCTTCATGGAGGAGGCGGTTGCACTGAGCATGGAAGAATGGGAAAAGTTTACAGAGGGAGCCTGCTCTTGGGGGTTGGGGGTGGGGCGGTGACTCAGCACAAATGCCGCCTGGGCTTACCTGGTCCAACAGTTGGTACAGCTGAGCCTGGACCTGCCACTTGTGCCGCATCCTGGCAGCAGATTTCTGAGGCTGTTTAGGAAGATTATGTCCCGTCCTTTGCAGTGTTGTAGGGGGCGGGGGAAGGAGGAGGAGGTGGCCTCTAATTCAGGCTCCATAAGCCTCTACACCCACTGGGTTAGAGAGGAGCAGGTGGGTGGAGTCAGTGGGGATTTGTTAGCTATCTGTGCCTGCTTTTGAATCTACAGGTGTGTACACATTATCTGTGTACACACCTTTATCTGCATGTGTATGCATGTGTCTATCAACCCAAGCATATGTCCTGTCTGTATCAACATGCATGTGTTTGTATGTGCACACATGTCTGTGGGTGCACGGGTCTGTGCCCCAGTGTGCCAGGGCCTGTGTCTGCACACGTGTGGCTGTGTCCATGCATGAATCTCCGTGGGCCACACGTCAGTGTCTATGTGTGGTTGTAGACCCGTGACCAGCCGAGTCTGTGGTGTCTGCAACGGTGTGTCCATGTGCTCACGTGTGTCTTTCGTGCCCCGGGACCTCTCAGGGCTCATCCGACTGCAGGAGCTCATCATGGCCCCGTCAAGGTACAACATCCGCCTCAAGATCCGCCAGCTCCCCCTCGACTCTGACGACTCGCGCCCGCTGCTCAAGGAGATGAAGCGAGGCCGGGAATTCCGCATTATCTTCGACTGCAGCCACACTATGGCCGCCCAGATCCTCAAGCAGGTGTGTGAGCACCAGCCAGCGGGAGGGAGGGTTGGGATCTGCCTGCCATTTGTCCCAGCCACCCCCATTTCCCAAACACAGGCCTGATGTCAGCCAGATCTGAGCTCGATCCCTAGTCTGCCTCTTTCTGGCTATATGACCTTGGGTGGTCACTTTACCCCTGTGAGCCTCAGTTTCACCAGCAGCAAAATGGGCAGTGGTCTCGACACTCCGACTTGGTGTGAGAATGGGATGAGACGATGGATCTACTGCCCAGCCAGGCCTGGAGCACAGAGGGTGCTGAGTAAATGATAGTTTCCACATCACCTTGATGCAAGTGGGAAGCAGGGGCTACTGAGGGGGCATAGAACACTTGAGGAAGCACAGACAGACCCAGGGGTATGGGAAACAGTCTCCAGACTGCCTCTTCCAGCCATGAATTCCCTGCGGCCTGTGGCACTCGGTGTCACTCTCCGATCACTGGGAGGTTTATCGAGGCTCCGCATGCCATCTGCTCAGCTCTGCAGTGATGGTGGGGGAGGAGAGTGGCTTGCAGTTCTGGCCGCGCCTCCATTCCCGGAGAGCCCAGCGTGGCGTGCTGGGAACCAGAGCGAGCTCTGCCAGCCACCCAAGAAATCAACATTGAAATCGCTCACACGTCGCAGCTGAAACCAAAACCACTCTGATTCGAGCCAGTGCTTTGTGTAAAAGGCAATTGTGTGGTCCCAGAAAGCGTCCCTGGTGATTGGAGGAGGCATTCTGTGGGGCCTTGACGCATGACCCCGGGAGAGGCAGCTGGCAGGGAGGGGACGCAGGGATGCCGGGGGAGAGGTGCCGAGCTGGGGCCAGGAATCTATTCAAGGCCTGACACCCGCCCCCGCCCCGCCCATCCTGCAAGCGGAATAGCGGCCTGGGTCTTCCCCGAGGAAGCCCTCCACCAGGCATCTTCGCACAGGAGCTAAAAACTCGGTTGAGCGCATGAATCCATCCGGTTCCTGCCCTGGGGCGTGGTGGACCTGAGAGTGAGTGGCCCCGGGTCATCCCCTGCTCTGTAGATGGAGTGAACGATTCCTCCTTCCTCTGGTTCTGGAGGATTCGGTGAGACGAGTGAAGGCAGGAGTTCGTCCTTGTGCCCAGGGCACAGTCAGCACTGGATGTGGCACATTTTTAAACTCAAAGCGGAAGAAGCAAAGCTCCCGGAAGTCCCTAACCCTCGCTCTCTGGCCCATGGCGCCCGGCGCCTCTCTCCTTTTCCAGGCACGTGGAACCAGGTAATAAAGACCCCACTGCTCATGTTCACTGAGGATGACTCTGTGCGTGTACACACACCCCTGGGAAGTGGGGGCGATTATCCTGCTTGATTTACCAGCAGGGAAACTGAGGCTCCAGGGGAAAGCCCTAAGCCTGAGGTCACCCAGCCAGAAAGTCAGAATTCACTCCCCAGTCTGCTGACTTGCAAACCCCTAGAACTAAAAGTGGAGATTCTGTGCTCAACTTGACCCTGAACTAAACCAAGGTGAGCGTGACGGTAGACCAAGGACTGCTCGAGCCTTTCACCTGCGGATGCAGGCTGTGAATCCTCTCCAAGACTGGGAAGAGATGAGAGGCATTTTCAAAGTATACTTGACCTCCTGACATTTCCCCCTGAGCACTATGTGTGCCTGCATTCTGAAGAACTCTGTAGAAAATGCATTATGGTCATTAGTATTATAGATTATAGACTTCTAATAAAATACATAATATAAAATGTAGACTTCACGATGGTGTGTGATAATAATTCACGCAGCCACGTGGCCTGCTGTGTGGTCAGCCAGCACCCGGGAAGCAAAGATGTCTCAGCGCTTCCCACTGGGGAGCCTCAGACCAAGGATAGACCTTGCTCTTTAGGTCTGGTTGGGTAGGTGGCGTCTGGGCTCCCACAGACATCTTTCCAGAGCCAGGACAGTGGGTTCAGCTGAGTGGAGTCAGGGCACTAGAGAAGCCAGTGTTGGGTGGATTCCATCAGCATTTCTCCGAGTGCACAGACTCAGAGATGCTTCCTAAAAGGCAGACACCTGGCCCCCACCTGGCCCTGCAGAATTTGGCATCTTTGGAGAGTGCGGCCCAAGATTCTGCACTTTAATGTGTCCCCTGTGATTTTGCTGCACACTCTGGTGTGAAGTCCCCAGATGTCTGCCAGCTGGTCACTATCACAGTCAAAAGGTGGTCTCACAAGGACATCCCACTCTGAGCATCCAGCCTCCCCCAACCCACCACTAGCCAGCCTGTGCTGTCCTGTCCTCACCCCCAGCCCCCCAGGGTAGAGAGAAGGAGGGGCTTCTTGGCTGTTCCCTGCAGGGCACTAATGCTTTGTTCTCTCTCAGGCCATGGCTATGGGCATGATGACCGAGTACTACCACTTCATCTTCACCACACTGGTAACGTACCTTCAGGTCCTGGCATGGGTCAGGGTGGGGCTCCCTCAGAACAAGGTCAGCCTTGGGGGGCGGGGGGGACAGTTGCTACAGGATATTCAGGCTAGACTTGCTTCCTAAGGCTGTAGGCATAACCCCAGACAAGGGCACAATTTGTCTCTGTGGCCCACCCACTTTGAAAAGGGGCATTGTGTTGTGACTAAGGGTAGGGACTCTAGAACCTGCCAGTATGAACACAAGCCCCTCTGCTCGCTGGCAGAGAGACCTTGCAGAAGTCAGTTCTCCCTCGACAAAACGGGCATGATTGTGGCTCCTACCTCCTAGGACTGTTGTGAGAACTGAGTGAGTTCACGCACTGATGCACTGAGAGCAATGCCTGGCTCGTGTGAAGCGCTGTTATTAAGACAATGACCCTTGGCCCCTGGCCCACGCACCTCCACACAGGTCTCAGGCCTCACACAACAATAGGAGCTGCCACTTTGGATTCCTGCGGCATCCACGCTTAAGTCTGCCCACTCACCGTCAGCCGGGCCAGCCCACCTGCAGGCTCCAGATGGGTCTTGTCCAAACCGTGAGAACATTTAGGACCATTTAAACCCATTAGGATAATTAGTTGTGGTCTGAGATCAGCAGAATAAAGAGATCCCTGTGCCAAAGGGGCACCGACTCCCAGCCACCCTGTCTTGGAGCCAAACACCCTCAGATGTCACTGGGCCCCGGGTGGATTCTTCTGCCCAGCCCAGGTCTGGGGCAAGTGACAGCATCTTTAACCATCCTGTTGATGCAACCGTCTCCTGAAATCTACATCGGACTTGCTGCTGCGGCTCTGCAGGCCTCTAGCTGTGTTCCTTCATTCATCAGCACCTGGCTAACATTCCTTACCCAGGGCCTGTGCTAGGTGTCTCAGGATGCCTGATGCTGAGGCCTGCCCTCAAGGAATTCCCATCCTGTCCAGTCTGCATCTGTACATCTAATTCATTCAGCAGACTTGTGCCATCACATGCCTGGACAGATTGCCGTGGGGCACAGTGCAGGGAGGCGTCAGATGCCACAGGGCTGGTGGGAGGTGAGGAATTTCAGACTGCCTTTATAGGAAAGAAGATGCTTGAACTGGGCCTTGAGGGAATTCACCAAGGAAAGAGAGGAATGATATTCCACAGAGAGGAAACAGCATCAGCAAAGGTCAAAGACAGGTTAGCTCTTCGAGGTTCATTCTGGTTGAGTCAAAGTGTCAGTTGCTCAGTTGGGTCTGACTCTTTGCGACCTCATGGACTGTAACCCGCCAGGCTCCCCTGTCCATGGGATATTCCAGGCAAGAATACTGGAGTGGGTAGCCATGCCCTTCTCTAGGGGATCTTCCTGACTCAGGTATTGAACCGGGGTCTCCTGCATTGCAGGCAGATTCTTCACCATCTGAACCATGCTCCTTTATGTACTGGTTGATTGCCAATTGTGTTCATCTCTTCCCAACTCCATATTCAATGACATCACTCAGGTAGCTTGAAATTAGCCATGGCAGAAGTATTCATACTACAGAAGTTGGCAGATGCTGCAAATAAAAGACACTTTGCTACCATCCCCTGAGAGTTGGTTATTAAGCATTTCCCAGCACACCGCTGCCTCTCTACACCCCCAGCAACTCTACCTTGTACTCATGTCTGAGTCACCTTGCTCCCTCTCCTGATCCAGAGCTCAGATCTGGGGACCTGCCAGGAGACATAGTGGGAGAAAGGGATTCTGGAAGCTGGTGACTGAGACCAGGCATCTTCTTTCCCAATTCCCTTTTGGAATTCTATTCACCCAAGCTGGCTTCTCTCCTGGGAAGGTCATCGGAGGCTGGGGATGAAGCCGTCAGATCCCCAGCATTCCATCCGAAGCTAGAAGCAGGGAAGAGGAGCAAGTCTGGGAAGATGGGCACATTCCAGGGATCCCAGGCTCCCTCTCCAGGTGTGGCAGCCCTGGCATTCCCCCACTGGGCTCCTTGGGTGCTGAGACCTCTGCGCTCTTAGGGGTCCCCACTAGCCCTGTGCTAGCTCAACATGTTCTTCCCACATTCCTGTCCTGCTGGCTCACCTCCCTGAGTCCTTGCTGCTCTGAGTTGCTATAACAGAGCCTTGGAGTCCCTGTAGGAAAATACAAGGGAGGGGCAGGCAGACCTCCCAAGGTGGCCATGGTCCCCCTGCAGACCATGCCCGTCCCCCTTTCACATTACTGTCCAGCACAGTGATGGGAGAGCAGGTCTCAGCGGCATAGATAAGGATGAGAGTTGTTGCTCCACCACCTCTTGGCTGTGCCCGTGGGCAGATTGCTTAACTTCCCTGGACCTCAGTTTCCTTGCCTTTCAAATGGGAATAATTTGTGATGCCTCTAGGGGTGGACTCCCAGAGTTGGTGATGGACAGGGAGGCCTGGTGTGCTGCAGTCCATGGGGTCGCAAAGAGTCAGACACAACTGAGCGACTGAACTGAACTGAACTAGGCCTCAGGGGTTTCCCTGGTGGCTCAGATGGTAAAGAATCCGCCTGCAATGCGGGAGACCAGGGTACGATCCCTGGGTTGGGAAGATCCCCTGTATTATTCTTGCTTCCTGGAGAATCCCCATGGATAGAGGAGTCTGGCAGGCTACAGTCCATGGGGTCGCAAAGAGCTGGTCATGACTGAGCGACTAAGCACAGCTCACAGCTAGGCCTGAGAGCCCACATTTAGCCTCTTTTGGTTTGAAAAGAACAGCAAAACTCACTCAAGTAACCTCAAATCACTGGGACTCAGGAATGAACTACGAGGCCGCAGAGCAGACATGGGGGTGGCCCTGGATCCAGAGCAGCTCTGAGCGTCATGGGTTTATGGTCCAGCCTCTGCCCTGAGACTCAGCCAGGCTCCCCCATTCCCCTCCCCTGCCTGATGCTCCCTCCTCTCTCAGCCTCAGCTCCTCCCTTGTGATATCTATTCCCTGGAAACTTCAGCTCATCTCAGCTGCCCTGGGATCATCACATCCCACAGACCCTCCTTTCGGTCTCCACCACTTCTCAACATCTCTTTCTCTGAGTACTATCCACCTTCCCCAGGTCAAATTTCACACTGGTCAGGTACCAGTCAGGGCACTATCTAGGCATTTGGGGCTGGAGAGTTCCTTCTGGAATATCCTGCCCAGTATACAGGATTTAGCATCCCTTTCCCACTTAGTGATTTTCAGGCTTGGTGACAAATAAATGCCATCCCCACATTTTCTAATGTCCCCCAGGATAGGGGCTGAGTCATCAGCCAGTTTGTAGCACCCCTCCTGAGAGGTGACCCCCTTGGCTAGCCAGCTGAGGTCTGACGGTGGGAGGCAGAGTGCAGTGGATTAACCACTTGACCCCCAGGGAAGTCCCTGCTTCCCCTGCTTTTGTGTATCCTCAGTTCAATCATTCATTTACTCACTATCCAGCAGCCATATACAGACGCTGTCTAGGTCCCAGGTACCGAGCCAGACACTCAGGTGGGGGGTGCGGGTGGGGGGGGAGTTTCTAGAGATGGATCCCACACAAGGTTCACCAGCTGGTAGGCTTCCTTTGTGCATATAAGAACCAAGGATAGTGCCCAGTTTACTTCTGCATCTCCAGTGACCAAATAGAGCCTGGAATACAGTAGGTGCTCATTTATGCCTGAATGAATGAATACAATACAAAGTAGAAAGTACTCAGTGAAATTAGCATCCTCAATGCAAGAGTGAAGACCATGCACTCTGGGGCCCGTCTGCCTGAGTTAGAATTGAGATTTCTTCCACTTACTTGAGCAAGTTACTTCACCTCACTGTGCCTCATTCCCCATCTGTAAAATGGCCACAGCAACAGTCCTGCCTCGTAGAACTGTTACGCTGAGCGTTAAGCAGGTATGCTGACATCAGTAAAGTTCTATGGAAATCGCGTGGCATTTAGCACTATGTAAGCAGAGTACATCATGAGAAACTCTGGGCCGGAAGAAGCACAAGCTGGAATCAAGATTGCCAGGAGAAATATCAATAACCTCAGATATGCAGATGACACCACCCTTATGGCAGAAAGTGAAGAACTCAAAAGCATCTTGATGAAAGTGAAAGAGGAGAGTGAAAAAGTTGGCTTAAAGCTCAACATTCAGAAAACTAAGATCATGTCATCTGTTCCCATCACTTCATGGGAAATAGATGGGGAAACAGTGGAAACAGTGTCAGACTTTATTTTGGGGGGCTCCAAAATCACTGCAGATGGTGATTGCAGCCATGAAATTAAAAGACGCTTACTCCTTGGAAGGAAAGTTATGACCAACCTAGATAGCATATTAAAAAGCAGAGACATTACTTTGCCAGCAAAGGTCCATCTGGTCAAGGCTATGGTTTTTCCAGTGGTCATGTATGGATGTGAGAGTTGGACTGTGAAGAAAGCTGAGTGCCGAAAAATTGATGCTTTTGAACTATGGTGTTGGAGAAGACTCTTGAGAGTCCCTTGGACTGCAAGGAGATTCAACCAGTCCATCCTAAAGGAGATCAGTCCTGGGTGTTCATTGGAAGGACTGATGCTGAAGCTGAAACTCCATTACTTTGGCCACCTCATGCGAAGAGTTGACTCATTGGAAAAGACCCTGATGCTGGGAGGGATTGGGGGCAGGAGGAGAAGGGGACGACAGAGGATGAGATGGCTGGATGGCATCACCAACTCGATGGACATGAGTTTGAGTAAACTCCGGGAGCTGGTGATGGACAGGGAGGCCTGGCGTGCTGCAGTTCATGGGGTCGCAAAGAGTCGGACACTACTGAGCGACTGAACTGAACTGAACTGAAGAGTTAAATAAATCGATAAAATAACTCCTGCTTATATTTTTTATGTGCTCAGCATACCCCATTTCATCCAAAATTCAGAACAACTCTCCTAGGAAGGTGTGACTTTTCCAGTTTTACAGAAGGGTAGAAACTGAGACTCAAAGAGTCTGCTCAGAAAGAAAGGGGAAGAGCAAGTGTTTTGACCAGTGGGGGCTGTCTGACTGCAAAGCC